ATATATATAATCTCCATTTGAGAACACAATCAGTGAACGAACGTTCATAATATAGAATTGTGTGGGTCAATCGCATAAAATTATTCAATCTTTTCATAATCAAAATAATAAGTTGAAACGCTGCATGCCTTGCCCTTGTGCGTTCAAAGGGTTCAATAAAAGACAGAAAAAAATATAAACACTTACTCTCAAAAAAAGATGCGACGAAACTCCATAGAATTCATAGGCCTAAACACGGTGCTGTTGCTTCATATAGAACTGTGCTAGAAGAACAATCTTTCTACAAAGAGTTCCGATATCTTACCCCTGCCGTCTCCATAACAGAACTACGCACCGGTCCTTCCATACAGCCTTTAATGCCGTCTAGACCACATTTATGAAAGAAAAAAAAAAGGAAGAGGAAGGGGGGGGGGGGGGGGGGAGGAGCCAAAACTACAACGTTGCTATAAAGAAAAGTGTTCTAATCCGGGATATAAAGAAATGTGTTTTTTAATCTATACTGTAAGGAAATGTGTTTTAGCCTATACTGTAAGGAAATGTGTTTTGACCCATGCTATAAAGAAAGGTGTTTTAATCCAAGCTATAAAGAACGGTGTTTTAAATGTATGCTGGAAAAAAAAAGATTATAAATAAAATGTATTTCAATCCTTACCACAAAGAAAGGTGTTTTAATCCATAGGCTACTATAAAAAGGTGTTTGGATCCATGGGCCTACATTTTAAAAAAAAATCTCATACAATGATGTTTGGTTAGTCAAGCTCTTACTTCCTGTATAAATATATGGTGTTTTTATCAATACTGTATAGAAAGGTGCCATAAGACACATTATAAAGAAAGGTGTTTTAATCCACTCTATACCATACCACCACGTAGAGCTCCAACTTCACTATATCGGGGCCTCTACTAATGGAACAACTGAGGGAACAAACACTTCCTTGGTGCTCCCACAAACACGAACACTTATATTTGCTTTACCCCAGCACAAGCCCATTATGCCAGCCACCTCATATTGACGAATGCAAGCACCACTGGCTTTTCAACGCTCTCCAAACCAGGAGAAAAGAGATCGGCGCCTTCCTAACCCAACCCTGACTCAACGAGTGGCCCGTACATTAATATTAGCGCAGTGCCATTTTGGGAAACGAAACTTCATCGACGCTTCGAAGCGTGGAGTCATAAATCGCATTATTCGAATAGGCCTACTTGTTCAAACGTTTATGGGTTGCTGTTTTGTTTTTTGTTGTTTTGTTGTTTTGTTGTTGTTTGAGGG